GGAAGCCAAGTTCAGGGAAACGACATTGGAACTGGGTACTGAGTGTAATAAAGAGTGCATTGTGGGTAATGGAAGAAGCTGCTTCCAGGGAGAAGAAGAAAAAGGCCTTGCAAAGGCCTCCTAGACACAAAGCGTGGCTTGTTATTTAGGGAACCGCAACGTGGTTGTGTAGACCGAGTGTGAGCTGTAAGCTGCTTTGTGTCAGGCAGAGCCAGGATAGTCAGGAAAGGCTGGATCTCGACGCTTGGCTTTTTCTGGTGTAGAAAATGAGAACTTGGCAAATTTTTTGTCCGTTATTCCTATGGGAATTTTCTATAATATTCCTCTGAGAATATTTCTGTAATGAACATAGATGGCTACACTCTTGATATTTTAAAAGAAAGCAAAATCTGCCTGGTGTCCATGCGGAGGGGAGAGAACACTCAAGATCAGGATTAGAAATAGGAAGCCAAGTTAGGAGGTCGTTGCAGTCCCTCAGATGCAAATTGTTGAAAAAATGGACCAAAACTGGAGATGGAGAAGAGAAGACATCTGAGAGGACGTGGAAGGGGGAGGCGAGGAAGGGACCGAGTGGATGTGGAAGCGGGAGGCGAGTGAGGGACCGAGTGGATGTGGAAGGGGGAGGCGAGGAAGGGACCGAGTGGATGTGGAAGGGGGAGGCGAGGAAGGGACCAAGTGGATGTGGAAGCGGGAGGCGAGGAAGGGACCGAGTGGATGTGGAAGGGGGAGGCGAGTGAGGGACCGAGTGGATGTGGAAGGGGGAGGCGAGTGAGGGACCGAGTGGATGTGGAAGGGGGAGGCGAGTGAGGGACCGAGTGGATGTGGGTGGCAAGAGAGGAGGGGGTTCAGCGAGACTCCCGGGCGGTGCTGGCATGAGATGCAAGTCAAGTGTCAAGCAGCTACTTCTTGTGACTTCTGCATTCTCAGCTAGACTGAAAATGCCCTTAAGACAGAGACATCTGTGTTCTGGAGGTCTCTGCCATGTCTCATATAGAGCCCTACTCCTCTCTGGCTCTCTGTCTGAGGGGCAGAACAAGGCTGGGGACCACTGGAATATAAATAAGACTAGAGTTGTCAAATACAGTACAGGACACCCAATTAAATTTGAATTTCTGATAAAACGAATGATTGTTCATGTAAGTATGTCCCGTGCAATATCTGAGATATACTAGAAAGTGTATTTTTTATATGAAATTCAATTTTAACTGGGAATCTTTTATTTTTATTTGGTAAATCTGGCAACCCTGGTTCTACGTGTGTGTGTGTGTGTGTGTGTGTGTGTGTTTAAAGTAGATAGCAGAAACAAAGAGTTGTGTGCAAGTAATGAAATATAAAAATATTTAAATTACCTTAAGAAGGTTTCATTTTCACAGAGGAAGTGGAGATGGCACAAGAGACAAAAAACAAAAATGAGAGTCACATTAAGGGAGGCGATTGAGCAGAGTGGCTTCGAGCCTTTCTCAGCTGAGTGTCCAGCTACTTGGGAGGCTGAGGTGAGCGGATCACTTGAGGCCAGGAGTTTAAGACCAGCCTAGACAACATAGTGAGATTCCCTCTCTAAAAAAATTAAAAATAAATTAACCAGGCATATGGCGGCGTGTATCTGTAGTCCCAGATACTCAGGAAGCTGAGGCAGGAGGATAACTTGAGGCCCGGAGATGGAGGCTGCAGTAAACTCTGATCCCAGTGCCCAAGCCACAGAGTGAGGCCCACCCCACTTCAGAAATGAGACCTCTTCTTCAGATCACTGGCTCCCCTGGAGGGAATGGCCCCATAAGCAACAATCCGATAGTTAGCTTTCTATATAACTCACTCATGGACAGAAAATATGCTGATGTGGGGACAAATCCTTTCTGACCCACATGAACGAGAAATAGAGGACACTATTTAGCATACAGATTTCGTGGTTAGACACTGTGAGTTCAAATTCTAGCTTCATAGCCTTGGTAAATCATTTACCCTTTTACTATTTTCTTTTTTCTGACTAAAGAAAATCGATTTAAAGGGTATTGTAATTATTTCTCAAAATTTAAGGATAATTATTTATTTTTACACAATAAAAATTTTGCAAAAAAACATTTTGAATAATAATAATGGTACCTTACCTTCAGAGACTCATGTTTCCACATCCACTTTTACTTCTTGTCATATCTTCAAAACCTCTCTGTAATATCCACAGTGTGGGACAAGTTTGATTATTCTCATGATACAGATATTTAATAAAAAGAAGAAGGTTACCGAGCTTAGCAAAAGTCACAGCAGGGGGACTTGGTTAGAACCTAAACCAGGACTCTTCAACCGATATAATATTAAAGCTAGAAAGCAAACAGGATCATCCAGTGGTTCTCAACTCACGGGTTTTGGAAACGTGCAGACCATTTTGATTGCCACAATGCCTGGTGGGTCTGCTGGCATTTAATGTCTTAGGCTCCAAATGCTAAAGATTCTTCAATGTGCACATCCCTGGTCCCAGGTTCTGATGGCCCCCAGTTGAAAAACACTGGTATTCCTGCCCCTCATTTTACAGCTGAAGAAACTGAAGGCAGAGAGGTCAGATGACAGGTTCTCCATGGCTTTCTCATGGGAGATTATTTAAATAATTGTTTCTTGAGCGAGAGATATTAAAAAAGAGAAAAGCAGCCCATTAAGGGAACTTTCTGCTTTTGCTCCTCTACATGTTGAAAGTAGTACCTGTTTCAGAGGCATGGGAACCAGAGTGACTCCATCTTGAATAAGAGCAGGGTAAAATGAGGTTCAGACCTGCTGGGCTACATCCCCAGGTAGTTGGGCATTCTTAGTCACAGAATGATGTAAGAGGTTGGCACAAGATGCAGTCGGGTCGGCCGGGCACGGTGGCTCAAGCCTGTAATCCCAGCACTTTGGGAGGCCGAGGCGGGTGGATCACGAGGTAAAGAGATCAAGACCATCCCTGTCAACATGGTGAAACCCCATCTCTACTAAAAATACAAAAAATTAGCTGGGCATGGTGGCGTGTGCCTGTAATCCCAGCTACTCAGGAGGCCGAGGTAGGAGAATTGCCTGAACCCAGGAGGCGGAGGTTGAGGTGAGCCGAGATCGCGCCATTGCACTCCAGGCTGGGTAACAAGAGCGAAACTCCATCTCACAAAAAAAAAAAAAGAAAGATGCAGTGGGGTCTTTGTGATAAACGGAATGCAGTAAAGAAGCCGGCCCATACCCACCAAATCCAAGATGGCAAAAGTGACCTCTGATCCTTCTCACTGCACGTTATACTCTAATAATAAGGCATTAGCTTGCAAAAAGACACTCCTTCTAGCACCATGACAGATTATAAATGCCATGGCAATGTCCGGAAGCTACACTATATGGTCTAAAAGGAAGAGAAAGCTTCCAGGAATTCCCTACCCCTTTCCCAGAAAACTCATGAATATTCTACCCCTGATTTAGCATATAACCAACAAGCCATCCTCGGGGCTCCTCTGCCTATGGAGGAGCCATTCTTCAGTTTCTTCTCTAATAAACTTGCTTTCACTTTACTCCATAGACTCTTTCAGAATTCTTTCTTGCGTGAGAGCCGAGAACCCTCTCTTGGGGTCTGGATGGGAACCCCTTTCCAGTAATACCTGGACATGTTGGTGTAGCCACGGGATGGGAAAAGGCCACTGAGTTCCAGTCCCAGGTGCACAGCGGGCATGTGATCAAGAGACGTTCCCTTGTTAACTTTGAAGACTCCTGTTCTCAGTGTGAGACGTAGGGTCCCCTATTCAATGCTCTGTAGAGTGTCTCATGCAGATGTGACTAGGACACAGAAAGGGCCCCCCCACCCCATGCCTCCAAAGAAACGCACTAATGAGAAACAGAGCCAGACCTCGCTGACCCATGATGCTTAGGAGCCTCATGGTAAATGACAGCATGGGGTCAGGCCTCCCTGGCAGAGTGGGAGCTGTGCAGTGGTGGTGCCCGGTGCCCAAGCAGCACTTTTGGCTCAGGCTGAGCAGCTGAAAGCTGGAATGGCCTTAAAATGCAACTATGATTGCATTTCATGATTTCACTACATGAAATGTAGTGCTGAGCCATTAATACATACTGGCACATTTAATTCCCACACCAAGCCGGGCGCGGTGGCTCACGCCTGTAATCCCAGCACTTTGGGAGGCCGAGGCGGGTGGATCACGAGGTCAAGAGATCGAGACCATCCCGGTCAACATGGTGAAACCCCGTCTCTACTAAAAATACAAAAAATTAGCTGGGCATGGTGGCGCGTGCCTGTAATCCCAGCTACTCAGGAGGCCAAGGCAGGAGAATTGCCTGAACCCAGGAAGCAGAGGTTGCGGTGAGCCGAGATCACACCATTGCACTCCAGCCTGGGTAACAAGAGCGAAACTCCGTCTCAAGAAAATTCTGCGAACTAAGGGCTTGTATTCCCATATAGACATGGGGAAATTGAAAGTGAAGAGTGTAAGAAAACGAAATAAAGTCCAAAAGGTGAATGTGGCAGAGGTGGGACTAGAACCAAGGTCCGTCGGATTCCACAGATACTATACTGCTATCTGGAAGACACTGAGGACTGGAAAGGAACTTACCCAAGGGGGCCCTTCTGCCTAAAGCCACTGGCACCCTTGTGCCCAGTCATATTTCAACTACTTGGTCACGCATGGCGATTCGAGACACTGCGATGTGGTTCGAAATCCCCCACCCCACCTTGTGTGTGGGGAGGTCGCCTGAACTTCCTCTGCAGCCGCAAAGAGGACGTGATGTGAATACTGAAAGCCCCAGGCTGGAGGACTCGCCTCCCCAGCTCCAGTGCGGAGCCACAGAACTTCAAAGCGAAAGGAAGCGCAGGCGGGAGGGGGAGGAGGTGTAAACTTCCCCCGCAGTCCCTCGGATCTGTGAACATTTGCAGATTCCCAGCCCTCCCGCCAGCTCCGCGCCAGGTGCCCGCGCCCCGCCCGCGCCCCGCCCCCCTCAGCCCCCCTCAGCCCCCCGCCCCTCCTGCTCCCAGCTTTCATGTGGATCAAGGCTGGAGGATGACAAGCTCCTGACTGATAGATACACGGAGACTTCGCTGATGATTTATTGGCTTTCTGCACCTGACGAGAGCCACTAGGCCTATCTGAGGAGGGAAATATATGGGCTTTCCTGACTCCAAGTGGCAGCCCCGGGGCGAGCATGTGATGTCAAGCTGGGCAGGGGAGAGCGGAGCTGTGCACCGGCCTGTGTCCTGTAAGCCGGCCCGGGTTGTAAAAGTGTCAGCACACGATATATTTCTTGCAGGGGATCCTCTCTGGCTCCAGCCAGCCCCTCTCCCCGGTGGCTGGCAGCCGCCCTGGCTGGGCTTGCACGCAGCGGGTGCCCCAAGTCGCTATCCCTCCACCCTGCCCAGAGCGTGGGCGCCCTCAGGTGCTCCCTCCAGCCTGGAGTCTCTCACGTGGCACCTGGCCCTGGGGACACTACAGCAGCGCAGGAGTTAATTGCTGTTACTCCTGACTTCAGTGAAGGAGGCCGGTCACAGGGTGAGATGTGGAAGCTAGGACCTGTGCCCCAGCAAACTCAACGTTCCCAGAGATGAACCAAGTAATTCGAGTTATTTATTCAGAAAATAAATTGCCATTCGTGTGCCAGGCACTATGCTAGAGGGGCACCACCCTGAGCCCCCTACCCGCAGCTCACCATGGCCACCTGCCTTAGTTGGTCTCATTTTTCCTCCCTCTACCCCCAGGCTTCTTCCTCGGACTTGGCTGGGGCCTGGAGTGGATGTTCAGTTTACTGGTCAGGCTCCAGGCCTTATATCTTGAAACTGTTAAGTCTCTGAATTCATAGACAATTCCGAGTCAGGATGGAGGCAAAGAAGAGGACCTGAGGTTTACTGTTCACGAGGTAGGTGGGGAAGGGATTGAAAAATAAGAGGAGATGGAAACTGCATTTGCACCAGGAGGGTTTGATGATTTTGACCAAGTCAGTGAATTGGAGCGCATCTATCTATCACTAATGGTTCTGTCTCCAATTAGAGTGCAAGTTTACTCCTGGGCCCTCAACAATCGAAATACGTGCTCGTTCTTCTTTCGTAAAGCTCCATTCTTCCATGATCTTTGGAAATGAGCCAACACTGCATTTTGTTTGCATCAGTTTTTTAAATGTTGCAATTGGAACATTGATATGCTTTTTAAATCAGGAGATACACTTAATTAAATTAGGATTAATTACATTAGGAGATGAATTTGATTTAAAGCATCAATATGCTCTTGTCTCTCATCTTCCCCCTTTTTTCGTCTCCTGCCCTGATCTTGGAAAAACATTTACTGGGTAAATGTCTGGCTGAGTGACCTCATAAAGGTGTTCACTGATGCCGAGGAGTGGCTGAAGAGGAAAGAACACTCAAAGCAGCAAGAGCGAAACCTGCAGTATGGCAGGAGACGTCATCAGGCCGGTCCATAACCCTGGCAGCATCATCCAGGTAGGAGTGGGTCTGCTATCCCGCCCCGCACCTGACTTCACTACCTGCACACGCACAAGCGGGGCAGCCCTAGCCCCAGTGCTGTTGTGTGCATATTAGAAAGAGTCTTCCCTGGAGGGCCCCGTGCCTTGCTGGGGCTCACGGCGTGGGGAGCAGAACCCAGGGTGGATTTCAGCCCTCAAGAGGTTTTAGTACAGGGGTCCACCTGCACAGCTGAATGGGAGGCCCCGCCCTCACCTGCTCTTCCGTAACTTGTCTTTCCCTGCCTGGCCTCCCTCAGAGCTCATTGTAGAAACCTGGCCTTCAGAGCTATGGATTCCCTGCCGTACCATTTACAAGCTGTCTGATTAGGGCTCATCAGTTCATCTCTCTGCATTTTTTTCTTCTGTGAAATGGAGGCAGGACTGCTTGCCTCACATGGCTTTGTGAGGAGGAAGTGGTTTCCATTGAGCACCCATCTGGCTATTCTAGGCCCATTCGCTCACATAGCTAATGACAATCCCTCTTTACAAGATTAAGGATTAGGAGATGATTTTAAATCTTTGAGCTGGAAGGACTTTAAGAGATACCTATGTGTGTCTTGGGCCTGAGAGTGAGTAAAGGGAGAGCAGGTTATCAGGCCCTGCCAGCAGCAGGAGACTTTCTGCAGGTGCCCAACACCAGCCCTGGAGCGGCCTCAGCTCCTCCCATGCAGGCTGCATTGCTGTATTTGCCACCCTCTCCCTGGCAGGGATAGGCCAAGGTCCTAGATACTCTGGCACCACACACTCCATACACGATTATCTCTGAGCAGACTCTCAGTGAAGGCTCTTGTGCTGGGCTAAGCAGAATGCGAGGTGCAGGGATTGCAGCTGCTCCTTCACTGCACTGGCAGTTTGGAAAATTTCCCAGAAGACTTCATTGGTGCCTCTTCTTTGATATTCATGAGTGTGTGAACATGACTGTTCTCATCTTTGTCAAGTCCATTCCTCTTGGACCATACCATGTATAGTCCAAAAAGAAGGTGATCTAGAAGCGTGAAGGCACCCTCAGTTCTGGCAAATTCCTGGGTGCCCTGCAGTTCTCACTCAGCAGCGTCCCAGCAAAACCAGAAAAAGACCTGGGGCCAGGAGACGAATCGAGAAAATAGCTTCATGTTTGACTTGAGGGTACAGACATCTGGGGAAGCCAGCCTGGAAGACTCTTTTTGAGCCCAGTGGCAAGGGCGGGGGGGTCCTAAAGCCAGTTCATGAGCCCGACTTTACAGTCGCCAAGCTTCCCCTCCCCTGGAGAGCAAGGCTACAGAGCAAGCAGAATGTTTAAGACACTGGCTTTCAAGTGAAGCCGATTGGGTTAGCGGAACTGAGGCTGATGTGGCCCCGTGCAAGGAACTTAGTATCTCCGGGATTCTTTCTTTCTTTATCTCCCGCAAAGCCCTGGAAGTACCACACAGATACCTGCCTCTATTGAGAGGATGATGAAACTGAATGTTTACACGTTGCTTCATCTTCCCCCAGGACATTTTTAGATTATCACAATATCCTAAGAGTTTGATTGTTTCTGTGTGCTTTATAGACCTGCATCTGTGGTTTAAAAAAAAGATAAATACTTTTTAAAAATTTGATGATACAAGAGTCTAAGTTACCTGATTTGTGTGTGTTCCCCAGATGGCTGTCTAGGGTCAACAGGCAGCTACCCCAAAGTCTGACCTTTGCCTTGGGTCAGTAATCCAGGAGGGCCACAGTTCTGAGTTCAGTCCCGGCCCCAGCACAATTCAGAGCCTGCACTTTTCCCCTGGTTTCTTCTAACATTTGTTATGGGGCTAAAGACTTCAAGACATTTATCCTTCTTTGATTTCTACCACAGCCATTAAATATTTTGTATGTTTTCTGCCAGAAGTCAAGAATCATCAAGATTACAGAAATTAAAGGCAAAACAAAATAACTTTTTAATGAGAAGGTCAGTCTGTGGTTTGATCTCCGAGAAGAAATCAGGAAATCTGACTGTACTTGCTACTTGACCACTGACTCTCTAGTGGAAATAGGCAAATCTTTTATACCACAGAAAGTTTTTCAGTAAAGGGCCAGACAGCAAATATTTTAGGAACTGTGGGCCATACAGTCTCTTTCCCAGCTACTCAAGTCCTTCAGCATAGCATAACAATCAGCCATAAACAATACAATAACAAATAAGTCTGGGTGCATTCCAATAAAACTTTATTTACAAAACTAGGCAGCGGGCCAGATTTGGCCCACAGCTACAGCTTTCTGACCCCTGCTTTGTCCAACTCAATAACAGTGAGGCAGATTCTCTTTAAAAAAAAAAAAAAAATAGGTATTTATTTGGGAGTAGCATTGCCATGGGAATATGTGTACCACAGCAAATTATGAGCGTATTCAAAGATTCGGGCAAGGGAAACCTTTTAAAGGCAAAGTGAAAGGATTAGAGTTGGGTTCGAATCCATTATCCTTGGCTGCAAAGGTGGCATCAGTCCACGCCTGGACAGGCGGTTGCTAGACAGACATCCTCACAGAAGAATTTTCTGTGTAAAGTCACAGTGGCCTTTTCTGCAAAGTTATAGTAAATCACGTGGGTCAGTTCTGTATTGCAGCGGATGAGCCTCGCCCTCAGAAAACCTTCGTAATCATGGCATCTCCCCGGCCGGATGAATATTGTGGCAGTTCTTATCAGGCGTACCTGTGTGACAACCCGCCCTTGATGGCCTTCCCTGGCTCCATTTGCCACGGTTTTAACATAAAGTACTCAATTTTGATTCTGACCACTTTCATAGCTTCTTACCGTCTGTGCCTCTGTGTATAAAAATGGGCATGCTAAAACTTTTCCTTGCGGCTACAACTAAACATCCAGCCCGGCCCTTAGCCAACACCAAGGAAGAGACCTGGGAGGTGGGGGGACAAATAATGAGACAAGTCAGGCCACCCCCCATGGGGTGAGGCTTGCAGGTAGGTGGGCCCAGTGGTAGGTGGGCACCTCTAGCACAGTGCCTGGCGCACAACTGCACTTTATTTTCTGAATAATTAAGTCTTAGATCAATTCATTGGTTGCTCTCCGGGAACGTGAGTTTGCTGTCTCCAGGCCAAGCCCAAGCTTCAGTTTCTCACCCCACAATCCACATTTCCCCAAGTCTGGAGTAACAACACTCTGGAGCTGGGCTCTCATCAAGTCAAACCCTGCCTCAATTTACCCAAACTGCTTTGGGGACCAAATGTGTACTGAATCCCCTCAATTCCTCCTGGTGATCCTGTCCTGTAACAGGCCCTCCCCATCCCTCAGGCCAGTGGATTCAGGAAATCAGTGACCACGGGATGGTTTCTCCGCTGGAGGGAAGCTCAGTCTGCACCTGAGCATCGTAAACATGTTGTTACTTTGCTCTCTCACTGGCCGATCCTGTCCAAGCCGTACACTCAGCGCCTCAGTCGGGTTTGCTACTGCACGCCTCTCTTCGGAAAGGTCATTGGATAGAAGGAGAAGGTACCTCACTCTCTCGTGATCCCTCCACCACTTTTGTCTAAAGGGAAGTTTAGCTGGAGGGCTGGGCAGGCAGACGGGTTTCCGACTGGGCCACAGAGATCCCACATCACTTCTCTGCCATGACTCATCATCTGTGACTTGACATGTTATGTACATTCGGGAATGTGCACATTAAGACAGGCTTCCTGCACTCAAAGATTTTCCCATACTGAGGGCAGAATTGAAGACTGAATTGAGGCATTCAGGTTGACCTCAACATCCACAGGCCTGGAGGAGGTTTGGGACCTTCTTCTCCTCAGGGGCCCAGTCCTGTTGTAAAGAGCAGCAGCTTTTAACATGAGGACCTAGAGTATGTGGGGGTGGGGGGCAGGAGGAGAGCCTGCCGTCTCCCTCTGCATATCATATCCCAGCTTAAGCCTGCCTTTCCCCTTCCCCTTGCATGTGGGGAGGGGCTCTGGGCTTAGAGCTCACCTGGAATGCCTCCGGTTGCTGAAGGGCTAGTTGGAGACTCTGCGACAACCTGATGGATCATCTCATAAACAGAGCCGCAGGAAGGAGAAGAAAATTATGCCAGCATAATGCACTTACGAGAAATAGATACGTGCGGTGCAGGGAGAAATGCTTTGATATTAAAATTTTTGTAACTTTAAAAGGCATGAAAAATGATACGACCACTAACTAATCAACATTCCTTTGCGAATGCAGCTTCAGTTCCTAACCAAAAACACATCCCTGCTATTGTCTTGTCTGGATCCAGATGCAAACATGATTAATTAAGTTTCTGGTGAGGAGTGGGAGGGGGGCAGTGGGAATGCATGGCTTGCTGAGGATCCTTTTCATACACAGGCCTGGGGAGAATCCCTTAGTCTGGGTGCCTGTTTCCCTCCACATGTCAGGGCTTGCCTTCTGTGCACTGACAGCCGTGGGGTGCAGTGAGCAGGCTGCAGCCAGACCCATGGAGTGAGGCAGTGAGAGGCTGAAAGCAGAGGCTCTGCAGATGGTACAGAGAGGCTCTCGGTACCCCATTGCCACTGCCCAGCACAACACAGCACAGTAGCAAATGCACATGACACAACCTGTTGGGAGACCTGGGCCCTACTCCAGACTGCTACCAAGTGGTTTGGGACCTTGGGTCAGCTGCCTCAATTTCTCCATTTGTGAAATGAGAGGTTGGATGAAATGTTTCTCAAAGTCTTCCATTGCCGGTTTTTTATTCTAGCGCCCAAGTCCTTCACACAAAGCAGGTGTCTATCCATTGATTGCCAGGCGTGGCCGCTACTGTTGCCTTTGGACAGAGGACCCTACGGGGATGGGGCTGAGCAGCATGCTAGGTGAGTGTCTCTGGCACAGGTGGCTGAGCAGCACACAGAGACCAGCAGACCGGACTCCTGATCCCTGCTCTGCTACGGTTAGCACTGACGGCTAAGTGAGACAGACAACTGCTCTGCCCCTCAGTGTCCCCAAAGGAAACAGAAACACTAGCCCAACCTCCCCTAGTGTGTCAGGAAACTGAGCACTGCTCTGTTCTCATGCCGGGATGGTGGCACGGTGCACAGAGTGGTATCTTCTCCTGAAGTCGGCTCCCATGGTAGGAGTCAGACACGGTCATTGACATACACTGTAATCGCGTGGTTAAGAGGGTGGGGTCCAAAGTCCGGCTGCCTGCATTCAGATGACACAGCATCCTAACCATTAGGCAGGTTACAAAAGTCCTTCGGGCCTTGACTTTATCTGTAAAATGGGAATAATCATCACAGAGCATACCTCAAGTTAAAAACAAATGCTTCTAATTATGCCTGGAACATTCGGCATGTACCACCTAAGTGTTAGTTTCGTTACTGTGAACCTCTCTCTAGCTTTGGGTGCCCACCAAATGTCCCTTTAGTGTGCACTGAGTCGTGTCTTATTCCAGGAGAGAGTAAGAAAAGCTGCCCAAACTTTCAGCTGCACGGAACAAGTACCTTCATTCATTCATTCATTCCCTGGACAGATATCTCCAAGTGCCCGTCAGGTACCAATCCCTATGCTTTGGAGAGACAATGTGACTTGGAGCTTCCGGCTTGGCTACAACCTGCATTCACTAGGAGAGCACACAGTGGGCGTCTTCCCTGCATGGTGCACAGGAGCAGGCTTGTGTCTGAGTGAGAGTTTTATAAGGCCAGCTGGACCCCAGGGTGGTGCTGTACCAGGTATAACGCCAAAAGCTCCCCATCATACTTGTGACGGGATTTGAGCCAGAGCCAAGACTAGGATTTAGTGAGCTGTTTTATCGGAGGTTTTACTGCCTCCTTCTAAAGCCAATTGATTCCACTAGTGTTTACCATCTCTCAACATCAGCTGTGACTGGCTGATTTTTTAAGATCACTATCCACACCCACTCAAACGTTAGAACAATGAATTGCCCAGTTCAAGTTCTATATTTTCTCCATTCCAGAGAAAAGAAAATGACTATTACATGTGCGTGATTTTGTCCCTGGGAGCATCTGAGAAATATGCAGCATTCTCTCTTCCTAGCTGGGAAATCACTTTTAAAATATTATCTCTAATTCATCTTCATGTTTTCAAAAGGGAGTTTGTTATTCCCATTTCCCAGATGGAGTAACTGAGAACAGAGTCGGGAGACAGCTCGCTCGGGAATCCAGAACGACAGAATGATTTGATGGTGGAGCCAAGACTCAGTTCTTACTTCCTGCCTCAAAATCCAATGCAACCCAGGAATGACCTTTCTGGGCAATGTTAGAAACGTGACCATATGAAATGGAGAATTTAGATCGCAATTCCCTGGACCACATCCAGGACACTAAAATGACTGTGCTGCTCTTGTAAAATGCATTCTAAGAATTATTTACTGTTCTGAATGTAATTTAGGGTAAAGCAGATCTTCTTTGGAGACTCCAGGCTAATCCCACATTTCTTCCCCACCCAAGCCCTGTGGACAATGACTTGCATTAACCCCTACAGGGTGCAGAGCACTGCTGTGCCTCATGTTTATAAAGAAGGCGAGATGAGAAGGAACCACCCTTGAAAGAGCAGCATGAGGATGAATACAAAGGCCCCAGCCTGTACATAAATAGCCCTGTATATGTGGGTCTCACGTCCCATGCTCCAGCTGACCCATCAGGACGCCTAGAGACAGTAGCGATACTTTCAGCGGCTACGGCAGGCCTCCTCTCTGCATTCTAGAGTGGCTGCTGTGCTCCTCCAATGTCAGATGACTCCTTATTTCCGGCTGCTGGAACCTGACCTCAACGTTCATCTTTGGTTTTCCCCGCATTTTGTTTTCAAGGCCTCAGGTTTGGACTCATCGGTCTGGCACACCCTCCTCCCAACTCCTCCATTCTTCTATGCTAAAGCTGATCTGAGGTCCCCTTTTTAAAAATTTGGCACAATTTAACAGATACATGCTGAGTGTCCAAGAGATACAAGGTCGCTACACTAGGATTCACATATCACTGAATAACAAGAATGATTATTTTCAAGGAACTTAGAATTTAATAGAGAGGATGAGAAAGGAACTTATCAGCTTTCTTTCAAAAAAATGGAGAAAAAAATGCCTCTTGGAAACATGCATATTTGAACACAGACAGAAGCTTGCCCAAATTCTTTCTAGAAATAACTGTATTGGTTGCGGGTGGGTGTAAAAGAGGATGAGGATATGGTAAGCATTGAATGAATTTTAGTTCCATGGTGGACTGAAAGAAAAACGTTTACAGATGTTGCTACATGTTTGCTTTCTTTTTCAGTTACATTGAAACAAAGTTCTATCCACAGATGTTGCCCAGGGCCGATGGAAGAAAACCAACCATAAAGAGAGCATTAAGATTATTGTATTAATCAGTTTGGGCTGCCATACAAAATACTAGACGAGGTGGCTTAAACAACATAAATTTATTTTCTCACAGTATTAGAAGCTGGAAGCCCAAGATCGAAGTGTTAGCACAGTTGGCTTCTGCCAAGGGCTGTCTTCCTGGCTTTAGACAGCACCAATATGCCGCAGCCTCACATGGCAGGGAGAGAGAGCGCAGAGAGCAAGCACTTTGCAGTCTCCTCGCATGATGGCACTAATCCCATCATGAAGGCCCCACCCTCAGGGCTTGATCTAACACTACCTCCCAGAGGCTCCAAAAACCATCCCATCAAAGGCTAGGACATTAGCATATGAATTTTGGGTGGACAAAACTCAGTTCATGGCAGAGATATACATTATTTTGTCAAGGGCCGGGCGCGGTGGCTCAAGCCTGTAATCCCAGCACTTTGGGAGGCCGAGGCGGGTGGATCACAAGGTCAATAGATCGAGACCATCCTGGTCAACATGGTGAAACCCCATCTCTACTCAAAATACAAAAAATTAGCTGGGCATGGTGGCGTGTGCCTGTAATCCCAGCTACTCGGGAGGCTGAGGCAGGAGAATTGCCTGAACCCAAGAGGCGGAGATTGCGGTGAGCCGAGATCGCGCCATTGCACTCCAGCCTGGGTAACAGGAGCGAAACTCCGTCTCAAAAAAAAAAAATTATTTTGTCAAATTTCAAATCAGAGTAAAATTTTCTCTAAAATTGTACTGCTTAGCACAGTATTAAATGAAATACTATATGTGAAATGCTCAGAAGAGTGTCAAGTCCATAATATGAATGACATGAAGATTTGCTAATATTTTTAAAATCCTACTTGAGATAACTTTAAATGCAAGAAATCCACAGACCTATTCTTTAAATTACTTACTCATGTTGGCTTCGTTATTGCCTTAGTATTCTTACCAAGATGTCATGGAGGATAGTTAACTTTTCACTTCTCATTTTATATGTGACCTTCAAGAGTAAGATTATTAAGTTGCATGGGAGATTTAGAAAAACCATACTTGAAATTTTAATGGCCTTAATTTTTTTTTCTTTTTTTTAAGATGGGGTTTCACCATGTTGGCCAGGATGGTCTCAATCTCCTGACGTCATAATCCGCCCGCCTTGGCCTCCCAAAGTGCTGGTATTACAGGCCTGAGTCACTGCGCCCGGCCTTAATTTTTTAACAGCCTTGAAAAAAAGGTATTTGTTATTCGCATCGGATGGTACCAAATATTAAGCGCATTTAATAAAGAGGTCCTCCAAACCGACTTCGCGTGGGCAACAAGGTTATTTTATTTCGCTCTTGGATGCAAGCGGGTTGAGTCCAAGAAAGGACTGGTGGAGGGAGGAGGGGTGGGAATTGGTTTTTAGATTGGGGCAATTTTGGGGGGACGGGGGTGTTATAGAGCAAGATTGGTTACAGAGGCGGGGGTAGGGGCAAGGAGTATCCATTTCCGTAAGTTCAGTTACAATGGCAGGCGGGGTAAGGCGTAAGAGTAGTTAAGATGGCAGGGTGGGGCAGAGGGATCTTCACAGAGCAAGAGTAGTTAAGATGGCAGGGTGGGCTGGAGTGTTAGTCACGTTACCATAATAACAGTTAAGATGGGGCGGGAGGTGGGCAGGGGAAGAAGCTCAATGTCTGGGGAAGCTCCTCTGGGCGAATGCAGGCGGAGGTGGGGTGGGGGGCAATCAGCCCAGGCAGGCAGACTTCAGACTTTCTGGGTCCAGGCTTTCACAAGGAGGCCTGACAGTATTATTATGACCCTTGCCCTAATTTAAAATGAGAAAACCTGGGCTCAAAGGGATTAAATGTTCAAGGTCAGCTAGCAACCTAGCAGTGAGGAGGCAGTGTCTGTACTCTACCCAGGTCACTTCCCACCAAGGTCAGTGCTCTTCTCCTGCATTTGTAGATGCCTCTTTAGAAAACAAAACTCCTCCTCCCTGAGCATCACTGGGCAGTGTGCTACCTACCGGAACAAAGACCAACCAGATGCTTTGGGAGTGGTGGCAAAGTAGGCATAGACTAATGTGTAGTGTTAATGAACATTTCCCCACATACCCTCATACACATCATTCACCTGTGCCCTGAGTAGCAGCCAGTAATCCAAATACTGCAGAAACACAGAGCAGGAGCACCAAATTCCTTGGCTTCAGAAGGCATTATCCAGAAACAAGACAGAAAACATCTGAACAGAGCTATGAGCCAGCAGCATTTATGTTTTCCTGCCCTTTCTCCATCTGCATCTGCCTCCATTTCAAGCCCAACGGATAACAGCCTCTAAGCTGGGTAGAGGGAAGACAGCTGAAGAGGAAATATGAGGATCAGATGTAGTGTGGAAGCTGTGTATTTTTCCAGTCTCTCCCCTCATGGTCAGATCACAGATGAAGATGTGTCTGGTGGGAATACACAAAGTAACCCCTTTTAAATTTGAGAATGGAGAGGACCCGTGTCTTGCTCCCTGCATGGAATCCAGAAAGATGCAAGCCTGACCATCGTTATAGATCAACCCTGGGGAAGAAATGGTGTCCTGACATAACGAAGCCAGAGGCTTCCCTGAGGGGTGTAAATGGCCGTAATAAAACACCCAAGGCGCTGAGTGAGACACAAAAGCTATCTGGTTTGGGGCAAGTCCACGTGGTCTTGGGGCCAGCAGAGGGAGCACCGCATCAGCAGGGTTCAGCCCAAGCAAGGACAAGACTGCTTAGTTCTAGGAGAACACGGCTGCATGTTGGAGGGCTGCTGGTAAATGGGAGGGTAATGTGGGTGGGTACATCCGAAGCAGTAGGTCAAAAAGCACCAGGACAAACCAGGGCTGAAAGGAAGGTGTCCAGCTACCTCCTCCCCCGCCGCCCAACACCATGTTGCTCAAGTGTGAGAACAGCCAGACATCAGTGGCTGCAGAGTCCTCTCCCCACTGGAACAAAGACCAACCAAGGATAAGGAGAAAGTGAACGAAGAAACTCTTGACTGTAACTTGGTTATATTAAATAATAATTGCCCATAATGACTGGGAAAATGGCGAATTCACTGGGTTTACCCTAAACGCTAAAGTATAATGTTAATAATCACATTAATTTTGGACTGGGCGTGGTGGCTCATGCTTGTAATCCCAGCACTTTGGGAGGCCAAGGTGGGAGGATCGCTTGAGGCCAGGAGTTTGAGACCAGCCTGGCCAATATGGTGAAACCCCATCTCTGTCAAAAAAAAAAAATACAAAAATTAGCCAGGTGTGGTGGCATGTGCCTGTAATCCCAGCTACTTGGAAGGCACAGACAAGAGATTGCCTTGAGTCTGGGGAATGGAGGTTGCAATGAGCCGAGATTGCACTATTGCACTCCAGACTGGGGGACAGAGCAAGGCCATGTCTCAGATAATAAATTAATAATAAATAAATAAATAGAATTTTCCATTTCAATGTAATGAGTGTTCAAGATAGAAAATAAGGCCAAAAACAGGAAGAATAAAGAAAGGCACGTTTTCGCCTACCTTTGTTTATGTTTCGTGAACGAATAGTGGCTCTATTAGCTTTCTTTATGGAGTACCAACTTTATGCCAAGTACTTCATACACATCATCTCATCTAATCATAACAACTTTATGATGTATTCATTACCGTCCCTACTATGTAAGATGGGAGAGACTCAGTTATCTACCCCTGGTCAGTTCTAATCATCAATACAGCCTGGATTTGTATTTGCATCTATATGACTCCAAAACACACATTCCTGTGAGTGGAGGGGAGAATTTATCCAATACACCATTTGTACCTTTGACTTTTAAGCCACTTCCTACCTAGCCCTTTAAAAATGCAAATATAGCCTTTTCCTCCCCTTCACCAAACATTCCCTATAAGGCAAGTTTATCTATATGCTTAGAAACTCCAGAAAGGAACTCTCACCCACCAGGAGACCGCCTCAACAGAAAATAGTTGATTTACAACCCAAAGTGTCACTACAAAAACTCTCTCCCACCTGGGGAATTTTTGACCTAGTCCTGCCCACGAAGGGGCCAGCAGTCACCAGCTCTACAGCTCAGTAGACAAAGCACCAGAGCCGGCACTTGGATGGCCCCCTGCCTGTTGGCTTCCTCCCCGGTGTGTCATTCTCCTTTAAAAGACCCACTTTCTGCCCCACAAGCAAAGTGGTACTCTGACAAAGGAAGCCTGTACTTTCTCCCCCTAAACTGGTTTTGGAATAAATCACTTCCTTTATGCCAGACCTCACTCTTGTCAATAGGACTCTACAAGCCACATCTAGGTACCCTCTCTACACGAGAGCATACTGCTGTTCCGCAAGCACTGAATTCCTTTTCCCTCTGTTCTTTACAGGTGTCCATAAAAGCACTAAGTCCTGATAACTACACTCAGCTTTCAAAGCTGACCTTTCCTTTAGAAGGGATGAGCAGGTAGGGAAGGCTAAGAGGGCTTCACCGGCCCTAGAGAGCAAACAAGGCTATTAAACGGGTGGGGGCAGGCCCCTTAAAAGGTCGCTACGACCAGCAGTTCTTTCTTTACTCATTAAACATGTTTGCTGATTACCTATGTGACTTCAGACTTTGGACAGGGTGAGAAGGTGGACGAGATGTGCTGGCTGACCTCACATGTTTGGGGAAGGGGGAGCACTGTACACAGGAGAATATCTCTTGTTCTCAAATAATTCTCTAAACACGTAGCCAACTGTAACCGCCCAAACCTTGCCTACTGCCTAGACAGACTTATCAAGACAGGGGAATTGCAGTGGAGAAGGGGTAATTCACACAGAGCCGGCTGCATGGGAGACCAGTGTTTAATAATAATTCCTCACAGCAGTCTCCCCAAGAGTGAGCATTCGGGGATCAGAGTTTTAAAAGATAGTTTGGTGGGTAGGGGCTTGGGAAGTGGGGAGTGCTGGTTGGTCAGGTTGGAGATGGAATCATAGGGGATTGAAGTTTGTCTTGTTCCTGGGTGTGATGGCAGAACTAGGTAGGCCAGATTCCAGGTCTGGGTGGTGTCAGCTGATCCATCCAAGTGCTGATCTCAGACATCACCCCCAGGAGCAAATTGGGGAGGTTCTGATTCTTAGAGCCAGAGGCAGCACCAGCGCTAAACTGTAATCTCTAATCCTGTAGCTAATTTGTTAGTCCCTCAAAGGCAGACTGGGCCTCAGGCAAGAAGAGGGTCTTTAAAGGAAAGGGCTGTTAGCCATTTTGTTTCAGAGTCAAACCATGAACTGAAATCCTTCCCAAAGTTAGTTCCGCCTATGTCCAGGAATGAATGACGGCGTAAGGGTTGGAAGTAAGATAGAGTCAGTCACATCTGATTTCTTTCACTGTTCAAGTTTCCTCAGTTACAATTCTACAAAGGCAGCTTCAGGAGCAAAACATTCGGGCGATAGCAAAGAGGGATTTCTTATCTGAACAAGAGATGAAAATCAGAAAATCATTGCCCTGATTGAATGCAGACTTGGAAGTTACATTTTCATTTCATACCTACTCTTTGGAAATGAGAGAGAAAGGATAATTATAAAACTGATTCTGGGGAGGGAGAGAAACAGAATGATACTTCAGGAACCCAGAAACTCTGAGACAGGTCTCAGTTAACTTAGAAAGTTTATTTGCCAAAGTTGAGGATGCACCTGTGACACAGCCTCAGGAAGTCCTGTCACACATGCCCAAGGTGGTCAGGGTATAGGTTGGTTTTATACATTTTAGGGAGGCATGAGACATCAATCAATATATGTAAGAATACATCAGTTCCTTCCGGAAAAGTAGGGACAACTCAAAGCAAGCCCCTTTACCCCGTGGGCTTCCGGGGTCCAGGTAGGTGAGAGACAGATGGTTGCATTCTTTTGAGTTCCTAATAAGTCTTTCCAAAGAAGGCAATCAGGATATGCATCTATCTCTGTGAGCAGAGGAATCACTTTGAATAGAATGGGAAACAGATTTGCCCTGAGTGGTTCCCAGCTTCAAGGGGCTCAAGATATTTTCCTTTCACATTTCCCCTCTTTTCTTTTTAAAAACCTTTTGGAGAAACCATTTTAGAAGAAAATGAGTCTCTGGTCTCAGGTTTCATCTGATCTTTTAAGGCTGAGACTGTTTATTCCTAGATGGGCAGGTCCTAGAAGCTCATTTTTAGCAGGTTGTGAAGACTCCTGTCCTTTGAAGAGAAAATGGGGGGAGGAACGGAGAAAAGAGCAATCCTGGAAACGCCTATACAGGCCATACATTCATAGGCAGGTAGGAGAGGGGCTTATGGATGTAAACAGGTTGCTG